GTCTGCAAACGTCGACAGTCCCTGTCATTCGGCTGTTTGTTTACAACGATTAATGCTTTGTCAAATGTAGCCTTTTCATTGTCTGTCAGTATATTCGAAGAAGACTTACATTGACGTATTTAACCATTGCGTGAATTTCTCTCTCAAATATTTCGTATATTTTACATAAAACAGTCTTGGAAATTCGGGAAATTCCTAGAATGGAATGTTACTTCCACAGGATACACAAAGAAAATCACAATTTCATTCAGTTGATTTTAAATTTTCGTTTAAGTTCGACCTTTTCGGGACGGCCATAAATCCAAAGCTTAGCGATTCGATGCAATGGACATATTTCATTCTCTTTTTCCTCTAAAATCTCGGCGCCGCCGTCCGCTAAACCGCAAAGCGGCGCGGATCTGCCAACATCGTCGCATCGCCGTGGAATATATTCATTGAACTCATAAATTCCCAACGACTGCCGAAAAGCTTAATTGAATCGTTAGGCCGGCTAAAGTCCCGTTTATTGTTTTCGGGAAATCCAAATTAATTCTTTACGAAACGACGCCGTCGAGTACCGCGTTCAACCATTTGAATAATAGGGGGATAATGGAAACGGAGAAATATACACAGTGCTGAAAATAATTAAAGGAGTTTTCTAATCTACAGTAATTTCGAGAGTTCGAGAGTGACTTGGTTCAGTCTCCCGGTTTTCATTTTAGTTGTTTACTAGACGCTGTCCATTTTAGTATTAACGTTTTTGCGATAGTGTTTACATTAGATTTTCAATTGTCAAAAATGGCTGACGTGTATAGCAACTCGAAGTTGATCGATATCGTAGAGAATGAAATTACGAAGAGAATGAGGATTTTCCGATCGATAATTAAAACCGGAGAAAATCCGAAAAAATCCGAAAAGTTTGACGTTTTCTTTAAAAATTCACAAATCCGCCATTTTTTAATTTTAAGAACTGAAACCTTGCACACAAGTAGCTATTTACATGTATTTTATATGTGCAAAACACTGATTCTGTCGAACGAATAGTTTTTGCACAATCGCCATTTGAATTTTTTTTGCAATTATTTCGCGGAGGGCTATATATTCGTGTAATTGTCTGACTGAAGTTTCAAAAAAGGAATTTGAAACTAGACAGGCATAGCAACAAAACGTCTATTTTCGGTTTTCTATAAAATGCAGCGAAATATGTGAAAAACGGTATATATGTATATGCGCCTAATTTACGAATTGCTTTTTCTTTTTACAAAATTGTATTTGTAAAAGTCCCCTGTACATTCAAAAAAATTTTATTTGGATAAGTTCTGAATCACCCTGTATAAAGGGTGTTCACGGATAGGTGAAACGACTTTAGAAAGAGTAAAAAAATGCTGATGTTGAAAAATGGCCTTGAACAATGTTTCTGAAACAATATCCGCCATGATTTCAAATCCATAAAATCCAGTAAGCCATGGAAATTAAAAAAAAAATATTATTTGCGAGTAAAGTGTAATTTCTGTACGAGTTTCCACAAAACGGCAATAAGTTTTTTAGAATAGAAAACTAAGTATTTGTACAAAATGTTCCTTCAAAAAGTTTTTGATGCATTTGTATGTAATTGTATTCCACAGTTTTTTTAACATTACGAGGGTATTTCGGACTATGTAACTATTCGTACTAATGTATTTGACAGTAAATTTCATGAATTTGTATACAATGCAAAACGACTGACGTATTTTGTCATAATCTAAGCCGTTTTGATAATTTTTAATGTTTTGTGATAGTGTTTCTATGTACTTTCACATATTTTACAGCTCTTTTGATATTTTTGAAAGATTCTAAAATCGATTCGACAAATTTTTGTGTATTTTGAAGCCGTTTCGACGCATGGTGTTGGTGTCCTGAAATTATTATTATGTACTCCAAGACTGTCTTGATGTATTTTTTGTTCGTTTCACCAAAGCCGTGTCGAAATCAAAAACCCCACGCAAGTCCGTGAAATTTTATTTCAAGGTAACCTACACTCCAACAGGTAAGGAGAATCATTTCCCGGAAGTCATCTCGGACTTAGATTTTTTTTTTTTCAATTAAATTTAGCATTTTGGCTGCTTTTGGACCCTCAAAATCGTGAGATATCATCATAAAAGTACTAAATATGCAGAAATATTCCAAAGTTTCAAAATACTTGATTTTACACTTTTCTCAATATACAGGGTGTTTTTAAGTAGAAGTCAAACATTTAATTTTTAATTTCTAAACTGCTTGAGATAATTTAACCAAATTCAGTGTGCATATTTAGTATGACGGTACGTATGAAACAAAAAATTACCAGCTTTAGAAACTTACCAGTGGCGGAGGTGTGGGTATCATCGGTCATAATTTGCCAAAAAAATATACCTATAGGTATCACCCTGTGATATTAATGTGTGTATAATATTACAAATAAATAGGTCATCATATGCGCCATTGTATTATCTTCACTTTTTGTTTCTTTACACTTTTTTGTATTCCAAACCGATTAGCAACAAAATTGATTTACTACGGTTTATTATAACAAATGTTGAAAATGGCCACCTTCAGCCAAAATACGTGCTTCAGATCTTCTTGAAATTGCAGCTCGACCACGTGCAAAAATTCCAGGAGTAGCTCTGATCACATCACATCACAACCAGCTATAATTTGTTGACGTAAGTGCTCCTCATATTCAATGTGCCACCCAGATCACCCGATATGACCCCTACTGATTTTTTTGTTTGGAGACATCTCAAGAATTAGTTTACAAGGTTCACATTTTCAAAAGATGTTTACTATTATTAATATATGCAAGAGTATTTTTATATTTATATCCAGTTATAAATAAAAAAAATTCAAAGCGTATCGTCACATACCCTAGATCTTTAATAAATTATCCATAGCCGGGACTTTAATCGATAAATCGTGTAGTGCTCGTATTATTTTTTTCTGCAAAAGTGTGAAATGAACATCACTCGCGAGTGCATGGAATTGAATCGGTAAATGTTTTCCTACAGGCGGAACACTTTAACCTCGTCGAGCATCGAAAGTTTTCACAAATTGAAACGTATTCTTCCTAGTCGACAACAGCTACAACTGCCATACGTTTCTATTATGCACCAACAATTTACCCTTTATCATTTTCCTGTGCCTTTTTTTGCTACGTAACGATTTATCGGCGTTAGTGGATAATGTCGATTTATAGCCGGATTGGTTACGAGCTACAACTGTTCGGGAAATTGGTACAGTGGATAAAACGGTGCAAAATTTGTTCGATAGGGTTTAATTTTTGTAGGTATGTATCAACTCGTTCTTTGTTGCTTTTAATTCGTCGTTCTCCGTTGCCCTTGAAAAAAAAAACAGTTGTTACAACATATTGTGTTACTCATTGTCATAAACCATATATAGCTTAGGCAGCTGTGAAATGTTTATAATCTTTTGCCTTCGTAGGAAATACTCTTTTGTTCTAACAGTGGCTACCGATTAGTACGATTTTTTGTCAGTAGTTGAATTTGTTTAACGAATGATTTACAGTTTTGATTTCTTAATAATAATAATAATAATAATACAGGGTGCTTCAAAAATAGCTGAACAAAATGAAACAGTTAAAAGCTACTTATAGTTTCAGTGTTTGAGTTTGGGTTAATGTACGCGTCACATAGTACGCGGGTAGTGTCTGATGTCAATGTGAGGGATAGTACAAAGGCTTTAAGGATAAGGACAAGGCAGGTATTAATTTCAAGTAAATAAAGAACGACTTCCTTACAACAAAACAAAGTGAGACCAAATTTAACGTAATTTAATAGATACTTATTATATTATCAAATACCTACATAGGTAGCTTGTATGGTAAAAAAAAGCAGGGCTATCCAAACCGGTTTTCAAAATTTGTATGTACTTAAAAATTCTGATAATAAATTTGCAAGAGGTGTATTATTTCATCCCCTTACTGTGTGGTGACAAGTGGAATAGGTCAGAAAATTTAATAATACGGCAACCATGCAGAAAGTTTAGAAGGTTTTGAATAAAGCCATGGGACACTAATTCTTCTACTCCCTGTGTATTATGACGAGCCCTCGGAAATTTGTTACACCATGACAGACTTACACTAGGAGGGTAGGTGTTCCATTACAGCTAAAAAACCCTCGTAAATATCATTTCAGCTGCCATGCCGTAACGAAGCTTCCACGTATTAAAAAAATATATATGGTGCAGCAATAAAATTTTACTGCCACGCAACTTAGGACTTTGCCAATAATAGTAAAAACCTTCCTTACGGACGTGTCCGAGAAAAAAAAATGGGGGGGAAAGTTCATAAATTTCAAACAGAACATGCAACCGCCGAGTGAGCGGGGCACTCGAGTGAAAATCTACTTTGTAGTCGCTCTGATAAGGTTAAAGTGAGTTTATTTATCGCCACTCCGTGACCAGGAGAGATACAAACGTTAATTGCGTTATCTAATTGAGATGGTAGAGATAAGGCTCTCCTGTATTATATGCAGTTTATAAAAAAAATACTCTACTATAGCTGAGGTCTTAGCTGTTTGTGCGATTTCATTAGCAGTAGGCAACTTTGAAGAGCTAATGATGGAAAAATCGATACAGTACTCTGCTTATAGTTTATTGACACTTGTAATCAGTCGCTGGTTACGCAGGATATTTTTAAAATAATAATACTACGTATACACTACACTAAATACACTACATTAAATACTACAGTACACTAAATACACATTAAATACACTAAACATACTAAATAATATATTTACTCACTTTTTTACAGCATATGACATACTTGATATCTTCTCTTCCATAGCATTTAGAACTTCCGGTTCTCCGTTGCCCTTCGTAAGCGTTCGAAACAGGATGGGATTCTGCTTAAATTTAAACTGTTCACGGTTAATTTTTTTGCTGTTTTTTTACTTTGGAGTAATTTAATGAACAACCTAATTATTAGTCGAAAATTATTTACTGTGACATATTCTAGAGATTTAACCACTTTATCCTTGTTGCAGGTACAAATTTTTCGTGTTCTCTGCCTTCTACGATCAGAGGAGGCAGAGGAATGTGAGGATTATTGGAGCGACTAAAACTAGGGGACCAGAGAGAGTGTGGTGCAGGCTGTGGTACAAAGTCAACGATTTTAACTCCTCCTACCATATGTCTGTGACTGTACCCGGCAAAATTAAGGTAAACAAAAGTATATAACATATTTCTTGTTAAATGTTTGTTTAATTTATTATTAACGCCATCAATCACAATAGCATTAACTAGAATTTTTAATACTATGTAATTATGGAAACTCTACACAGATATTTCAGTATCGATTAACAATTTAGATCACGTGAAGGTAATTTAGTGATCTATGTAAATTGTGTGATGGTATAAATAATTCTGAAGTCATTAAGTGCTTAGTAATGAGCCCATATCATACTTTTATTCGATATTCCTGCAAATTTGACTGTTTTCGCTTTTTTTGAAATCACTTTATGTGTCTATTCCCAGCTGATAAACGTGTCAGTGCGTGTCATAAGCATACAAGTGGGAAATACCTGTTATTATTATTATTATTTCAATTATTCCAATACGTGTAGTAAAAAGGAAACGGATGTTAGCGACCAATATGACAAGAGATAGATGATTTTTTTTTTATTTTAAATTTTAAGTGTATTCTGTCTGCCAAAGCTTCCATGCGTTAGAATAGCGATTTTTCTAATTCCTCTCCTCGAACTATCCGACGATGTAAAAGTAAACACATTTAGATCGCTCCCAGCCCGCCCCCGGAACCGCCCCGGCCCCATCCTCCTCCCAAGTTCCCGGAGAGCGCCCGGCCAACTTTGATGTTGGTAAAAGCGCCACGAATCCGACAAATAAATGATGAAGCCGCCTCCTAGGTGAATGAATAATTCGATTTATGGGCACAGCGTCGGGCCGGCTAAACGTCCCGGATCTTCTCGTGTATCCTGCCTCGTTAATATTTGATAGGAAAAAAGTTTGTAAACTTTAGTTTTTTGCTCAATAGAAAACAATCTCACCTAAAAGCGCGGAAAATTTGACCGCAAGTAAAGTAAAAAGTCAAAAGACGACCGGAGAGTGGCCTTTAATTAAATCTAAAATCATACCCGAAAATTTAAATAAAATAATCCGTCTAAAAATATACCCGATCATTTAATATACTTCACACGTATATTTCATTTTCATTTATCTCGTATCTATTTTTTACGCACTTTCTAACGCTGCTCGTTTGCGGAAGTCATGAAATAATCAGTCTAAAATTATACCCGGTTATTTAAAATGTACCTTCAAGGTATACTGTCTTTTATTTATTTTTTTCTAGCTCTTATTTGTTAAATTATAGCGTTCTTTTTAAAATGTCTTATATTAGACATTCAACTGTGTGCACTTTCTGACTAGTAAGGTAGTTAGTCCAAAATCATACCCGATCGTTTAAAATGTCTGTGCATTCAAGTATCTCTAAGTATATATTTTTATGCATTTATAACTTAGAAAAAAGTTAGACCAAAATTATACCTGATCCTTTAAATCGTCTCATACTGCACATTCAAGTATATCTATGTACTTTCTAATAATCTTCTTATTAAATTCACGAAATAGTAAGTTTAAAATTATACCCAGTCTTTTAAAATGTCCCAAACAGTCCATCTAAAGTTATACCCGGTCATCATTTAAATGGTGTGTACTATACAATTAACTTTCATTTATTTTGTGTATTTTTTAACTCTGCTCTCTTGTTGAATCAAGCTAAAATTATACTCAATTATTTAAAGTAGGTACAAGGTATTCTTTGTTAAAAATTCCAGAAACAATTAATCTAATGGTATACCCTCTCATTTTAAAATGTCCTATATCAACATTCAACTGTTTCTTTCTATTTTTTGTGCACTTTCTGAGTTTCTCCTCTTATAAACCAGTAAAATAGTTAGCCTAAAATTATACCCGATCATTTAAAATTATTTATACTGTACATTCATATATCTCTTTATATTTTTTATGCACTTTTTAACAATCTTCTCTTGCGAAATAGTAAATCTAAAATTATACCCGGCCTTTTGCAATGTCCTCTACTGTACATTCAAAGCGTGCAACTGTCTCTGTCTATTTTTTATGTACTTTCCTCTTGTTACAGACATAAAAATTATACTCGGGTGTTTAAAATGTCCCATACTTTCTCATTTTGCTATCTTGTCAAACTCATAAAAAAAGTCTAAAATTATACCCGATCGATCATTTAAAATATACATTCGAGGTATTCCGTCACCTTTATCTAGTGTTTGATACCCTTTTTAGTAGAATTTTCTTAAATTCGTGAAGACTAAAAGTATACCCGATCACTTAAAATGTACATTCGAGGTATTCCGGCACCTTTATCTAGTGTTTGATACCCTTTTTAGTAGATTTTTCTTAAATTCGTGAAGACTAAAAGTATACCCGATCACTTAAAATGTACATTCGAGCAATTCCGGCACCTTTATCTAGTGCTTTATACCCTTTTTGGTAGATTTTTTGTTAAATTCGTGAAGACTAAAATTATACCCGATCATTTAAAATGTACAATCGAGGTATTCCGTCATCTATATCTAGTGTTTTATACCCTTTTTAGTTCATTTTTTGTTAAATTCGTGAAGACTAAAATTATACCAGGTCATTTAAAATGCCTTGTACTGTACATTTAAGTATCACTACATTTATATGCACATTTTATGTACTGTCTAGCTCTATTCTTTTCTACAATCTAAAGTCATACCCGGTCATTTAAAATGCTCCCCAGCGTACTATAGTCTTCCTTATGGCGGAAATGGGATTCTTCACGGTTCCCCGCACGTCTTGAGTAACAAATTATTAACCTTCGACGGAACAGACTCCAAATGCACCACCACAATACATGCGACTTGAGCGGAAGTAACGTAGTTACCATATTCGATTAATGAATGGGGCGCGACGAGTATTACTTCGTCTTAGCGAGGGTCGGTGGTGATTACAGACGAGGGAGCAAGTCGAGCAAGTGCAACTAATTAAATTTAACGACGAACGGGGAGGATAATGCAGATAATTCCGTCGGAACTCAATTCTCTCTCGGCAAATGAACAAATTGATATACGGCATTGGAAACTGGTCGCAGTTTTACTCTGTGTTCGATAGTTTAGCGGGAAATCGCATAAAAATCTGAAAAAGTAAAACTTAAAGTACAGTCGTGGACAAAAAACATTGTACGATGTGGAAAATTGGTGAATATAAAACGGGTTTTACAAAGATTATCCGTTAACTGAACCCCTAATGTTTGCTGATGGCACGACACGAACATGGGTCGACTTGAGACGAAACTAATCGGCAGGGACGGTAATGGCGCTGGTGTCATTTACAGGGCCAACTGTTCGCGACTTCGCGGTACCCCCGGGCATCTTCATTAATCTTCTTAAGACGGTGCCGAGTCGTTTTTCCGCACCGACGAGTGTTCTCCTCACGCACCGTCGACTTCATCTGGAATTCGGGTATACGCGCTCGGAAGCCGTTTCTCCTACTGGGCCGAGTCGCTACGTTCTCTATAATGACGTTTACGTGACGAAGCTCATTTTTCCCGAAGTCGGGAATGTCCCGATTAAGAAAGTTTAATAAAGTTACTTGGAAATAAACGAAGAAAGCCGTATGCGATTGTTATAATACCGTCAGGCCTAAAGCGTTTTGCTGAGAAAAATGGATTTTATCTAACGAGTCGCAAACAGTCGAGTATTTTGGGGTTTTCTAGTCTATTTAAACTTCATGTTTCAAAATGTGCATTCAAATTATATATATCTTGCAATTTAGTCCAACTTACCCCCATTCAAAAGTTAATACCTTGTGAGATATAACCCTGTGGGTTTAGTTTAGCGAAATACCCAGTCTAAAATTATACCCGGGTATTTGACATACTCAGTCAAGGCATTCAGCTGAGATATAGCCCTGTGAGTTTAGTTTCGCGAAATACCCAGTCTAAAATTATACCCGGGTATTTGACATACTCAATCAATTTTTTATGCCATTTCTCGAGCAACGGTTTTTCAAATGATCATTTTCGCTCATGTGGTAATTGCCTGTTAGAATTTTCAACACCTATAGATTCAAACACATTCTAAAATCATACCCTACATTTTAAAAACATCATTAAGCTATCTCTATATATTTATGCACTTTCTAATAATTTTCTCTCGTTAAATTCGCGAAATAGTAACTCTAAAACTATACCCTGTCATCCAAAATGCCCCATACTTACTTTCAAAGTATTCAACTATCTCTGTCTGTTTTTATGTACTTCCTAACTCCGTTTTCTTATTGGATTCATAAGAGAGTCAGTCTAAAATTATACCCGATCATTTAAAATGTTCCATATTGTACAGGGAGCTTTTTAAGGAGGTTTATCGGGTACGGAGGTACGTCTAAAAGTCTAACGAGAGTTTCTGTACATTCGCTATTGACTAAAGTAGTAAACCTTTAGTTTTGGCAACGTTGCACCTGGCTGGCTTTGTTTGGATGCCTAAGCTTGAAATATACACCATATGTCACACCTGCGAATTTCAAATAATACGCTACGGCGAGAACCGCCGCTATCACGCATATGGACTATAAGTTAATCAACAACAGCAGTTTGAAGGAGAATTATTATAAATTATGTATCTTATGTATTCTTTTGCAAGTCCTTTATAGCTCATGTTTTAATGAAATCGTGAAATAATATGCCTAAAATTATACCCGGTCATTTAAAATATGTCATACTTTATATTGAAGCATCTCTATCTTACAATCAGATGGCTATTCTTAGTAGACACTGAGTTTTTAATTGAGGTAACTTTGTGTAAATCATAAAAATGATTTAATTAGTCTCAAATTTAGCGAGAAAGTGAAGTTTTATTAAATCGGAACGTCCTAAAATACTTGTCTGTTCATAACTGTGTTCATATTCTTTTCCTGCAATTTTTTTTTAAATATCTTAAGTGAGACAGTTTTTAACCAATGATATTGCGGCAGGCAACTACTCTGCGGTTTACAGCTCCAATTCGACCTTTCAAAATGATTTTCTAAAATTTGTTTTTAGCGACAGATTGAGGGGAAGGAGACACTAGAATCTGTTCTAACATTTTTCTTCCCCTCACAAGAACCGTTTTGCAATCGATTCACTGAGGCTGAAATATGAATTAAATTGCTGATTAAACCGAGCTTTTCCTTTTTTTTTCTTCAAAAAATTGCTCGTTGTTTTTATACCGTTTCATGTCCGTTTTTCTTCCAGTTCAAATAACTACCTCAAAAAAATCTCCAACGACACCAAATCTGGAGATCGAGGGGACCGGTGCTCGCGTTTTTGTTCATCCAAGATCTAGCTACCACAACTCCTTACGCATAAATACGCATAAATTTAAAACTCGAACCCAGATAAAAGTACCTCTCTTCTTCCGCACAAAAGCGGGCTGCAACCCCCCACCCCCGCTCCCCATTGTTATTCTTGTCGCCCGCGTGGAATAATAACGCGCAAGAAGCATAAATTCTTGCTAGGGGCGTAATTTTTTTTCTTTTTCCGTTGCAGGTGATAAGGGAGAATTGGAATCTCAAGTACAGCGCCTGCTTCGTGATGTGCCCCCTGACGAACAGGACGGTGCCGGCGGCGGTGAGCGTGGTGGCGAGGGTGAGGGACCACCCGGCCAACCTGTTGGCCGTCATCAATAACTTCAACGAGTCCATCCCCGCCAACCGGTTCGCGGTGTGTGTCAAGCCCCTCCACTTCGACTACAACAGGGTAAGTCTCAGGGAGAGGGCCGTTAATCCGACGAAGAGCGGCTCGAAGTAGCTGGTAAAGGGTGCCACACACAGTCACTAAAATCGTCTTTAATATTAATTTTTTTCCCTTTTAAAAAGTATGTCTAAAAAGCCTCTTTCATTTACTAACTTTTTGTTCACTTCAAGTTTTTCCGAAATGTTAAAGATTTATGAGAAAAAAAATAAATGTATTGCAATGCATTTTTAAAAAAATTATAAGAAAAGGTGTCGTAGGGGTTGATTATTTCAACCTCTTACAAAAATACTTCAGGGTTGAAAAAATTTCAAGAAGTCTAGTTTTTTTTACAGATTGATATACACGGAAAATAAAAAAGAAAAACATTTTTTTTTATTTTTGGAGGGGCGTAACTTTTCAAGGGAGTTTTTTTAAAAAAATTTTATACTAAAGACCCCTATTAATAATTTTTATCAGAGAATCGCGCCGTACATTTTTCGATGTTATTTAGATACACCCTGTATCTTCTCTTTAAATCAGCAAAAAGTACTTAGTCTCAAATAACTCACAAACCCAGTAATACATAAAGCCAATAAACCCAATCACCCATTATCCTAATAACAAAAAATCATAGACCTTATAACCTATAATTTAAACCCTAACACCCATAACCACGTAAACCCTAAAACCCATAAACGCCTAATCCCTCATTAACCTTAAAACCCATCAATCCCAAAATCCATTAATTCCAAAATCCACAAACCTCAAAACCCATGAACTTCAAAATTCGCAGACCCCAAAATCTATGTCCTCAAAATCCACAGACTTCCAAACCCGACAACCCCAAGATGTGTTTATGGGTTTTAGGGTTTTGATGTTTATGGGTTTATAAGTCGTTAGTTTTATGTTTTTCAGGAACTCCAATATCCGTAAACTCAAAATTCATAAGTCCCAAAACTTATAAATCTCAAAATCCAGACCCCAAAATCCACAGACTCCCAAACCCGTTAACCCCAAAATGTGTTTATGGATTTTAGGGTTTCTTTGTTTATGGGTTCATAAGTCATTAGTTTTGTTATTAGGTGTTAGGATTTTGTTGTTTATGGGTTTATAAGTCATTAGTTTTATGTTTTTCAGTAACTCCAATATCCATAAACCTCAAAACTCGTAAGCCCCAAAACTCATGGACCTCAAAATCCAGAGACGCCAAAATCCACATACTCCAAAACCCGGCAATCCCAAAATGTGTTTATTAGTTTCAGGGTTTTGGTGTTTATGGGTTAATAAATCATTAGTTTTATGGTTTTCAGTAACTCTAATACACATAAACCTCAAAACTCATAAGCCCCAAAACTCATGAATCTCAAAATCCACGGACCCCAAAATCCATTGTCTTCAAAATCCACAGCTCTCAAACCCGGCAACCCCAAAATGTGTTTATGGGTTTTAGGGATTTGGCGTTTATGGGTTCATAAGTCATTAGCTTTATGTTTTTCAGTCCATAAAAGCCTCAAAACCCATGAACCTCAAAATCCAGACCCCAAAATCCAGACTCCCAAACCCGGCAACCCCAAAATGTGTTTATGGGTTTTAGGGTTTTAGTATTTATGAATTTAAAAGTCATTAGTTTTTTGGTTTTCAGTAACTCCAATATCCATAAACCTCAAAACTCATAAGCCTCAAAATCCACAGACTCCCAAACTAGGCAACCCTAAAATGTGTTTATGGGTTTTAGGGTTTTGGCGTTTATGGGTTTATAAGTCAAGTAGTTTTATGTTTTTCAGTAACTCCAATATCCATAAACCTCAAAACTCGTGTAAGTTCCAAAACCCATGAACCTCAAAATCCACAAACCCCAAAATCAATTACTTCAAAGTTCACAGACTACCAAGCCCGGCAACCCCAAAATGTGTTTATAGGTTTTACAGTTTCGTTGTTTATGGGTTTATAAATCATTAGTTTTATGGTTTTCAGTAACTTCAATATCCATAAACCTCAAAACTCATAAGCCTCAAAATTCATTGTCATCAAAATTCACATACTACCAAACCCGGCAACCCCAAAATGTGTTTGTGGGTTTTAGGGCTTTGGTGTTTATGGGTTTATAAATCATTAGTTTTATGGTTTTCAGTAACTTCAATATCCATAAACCTCAAAACTCATAAGCCTCAAAATTCATTGTCATCAAAATTCACATACTACCAAACCCGGCAACCCCAAAATGTGTTTGTGGGTTTTAGGGCTTTGGTGTTTATGGGTTTATAAATCATTAGTTTTATGGTTTTCAGTAACTTCAATATCCATAAACCTCAAAACTCATAAGCCTCAAAATTCATTGTCATCAAAATTCACATACTACCAAACCCGGCAACCCCAAAATGTGTTTGTGGGTTTTAGGGCTTTGGTGTTTATGGGTTTATAAATCATTAGTTTTATGTTTTATTTAATGAAAAACCTTGCTAAATTTTACATTTTGCGCGTTTTCAGCATACAATGTGATTAAAGAAACATTTATTGCTGCACCATCTAACCTGCTGCGTTTCCAGTTTCGCCCACTGTGGGCGCCGACCATAGAAAATAAATTCAGGACACGCTCAATTTCGGACGGTTATCCTTCGGTTCGTTATCGTCACATAAAAACGTCCATATTTTTAACTGTTGCGGTGGGCGAACAAAGCGGCCCTTTCAAACGTATTTTAATCTGTTTATTGTGGTCAAATCCAGTGGGAAATAAACCGGGCTAGAGTAGGGTCATCCATTTGGAAAAAAAAACGCCGATAAAAAGCAGCGAGTTATGAAAATTTTTATTATGGTTGAAACAGGCCGCGAAAAATTTTGAAAATATAGTATGTAAGTATTTTTAATTGTCGTTGAAAGTTGAGAAGAGTAATATACAGGGTGAACCTTAAAAATAGTATTTTAAAACAGCGGTGCAATTTACTGTATAGAATCTGTAATTAAGTTTTCTTTTGCGAAAAAAAAAATAGGAAAAACAGTCGAAGTTTAAAATAAATATGCCTGATTTTTTAATAGAAATTTGTTGAGAACCACTGCCTTTATTGTGGCTTTTGCGACTGGCATAGTAGGCCAGTCAAATTGTCGAAAATGCCTCGTTTTTTGCCAAAATTTAGTTCAGTAAACAAAGACACTTAAAAATTAGGAAAAATTCCGTAAAATTGAATGAACTACTTTTTCCCAGCCGAATGTTAGGGTTTTATTTTCAAAATGGCGTCCAAAGCTCGCAAAAAACAGTTTTTTCATTAAAAAAAAAAAGTTTTAGACAAAAGTTATAGAACTTTTTATAACAAAAATTTTGAGCCCTGCCATATGTCAATAAACAAATGTATTGCAAAAAAACGGCTAAAAATCGCATTTTTTTTAAAGTTTCTATACTCGTGTGTATCTTTAAAACGAAAAAAGATTTATTTTAAGAAACTTTCAGAATATGTAGTCCTTGGCAAGTAGAATAAGTGCATTTTTGTAAAACTGCAAAATATTTGATAGTTTCTGCAAAAATTGAGTTTTTCGAAAAAACATTTTTTTCAATTTTCAATAAATCATACTAAATGCACTTACGTGACCCACCTTGGACTTAAAATTTTCTCTGAGAGTTGTATTTTGCTGTGCAAATTAAAAAAATGCTTAGCTATTTTTTTTTAATTAATTTTAATTTTTTTTATAAAAAGAGTTCTACAACTTTTGTCTAAAACATTTTTTTTCTAAAATGATTAGTTTTTTTTTAAATGAAAAAAAATGTTTTATGCGAACTTTGGACGCCATTTTGGAAATGAAGCCCTAACACTCAACAGGGGTAAACTAGTTCATTCAATTCTACGGAATTTTTCCTAATTTTTACGTGTTTACTGAACTAACTTTTGGCACGTATAAATCTAATTTCATTGGACTATAGATCGACTACACAGTGTTGCCGGTTTAAACAAGATTCTTCAACTTTAACATTTTATGTGAAATAGCAAAAAATATAAAAAAACAAGCATATTTATCAAACAGCCCCCTCCTGCACAACAAAAAAAAAATAAAATACTATCCTGATTGATATAAAATGTTTTTTTTAAATCGTTTCAAGTTTTTACAAAGAACTATGTGTTCCTACTTTTTTTGGTGTATTTGTATGTATACAATTTGTGAATATCAAAGTCAATGACCCTTGATATTGACAGGTAATATTAAAAATTTAAAAAATTCTAAACAAAGTACGGTGAGTTTCTATTATTTGTTCTTATTCAGTGGATTGGTGCTACACATATTAAATTAACCCAAAATAAACAAAACAACAACAAAATTAAATCGTGAACAGTTTAAATTTAACCAGAATCCGATCCTGTTCCGAATGCTTACGAAAGGCAACGGAAGTTTGCCACCGCTGTTCAGTTAACGTTCCATATTACCGCCTCTGAAAGGCTGCTACCGCCGGTTGACTTCACACATGGTATGATACGACGAGATGGTAAACGGGTAATAAAAAAATGTTAATTCGACGAAACGCTTTATTCTATTACATTTTTATTTAGTTTGTGAAGTAACTTTGAGTAGTGAAAGTGTATAACCTTATAAAATTAATTATTTCAGTGTTTAGCGACGGTGTAGTGTATTTTTGCGATTTCGTTCTCAAGTTTTTGTGTGATATTATGAAAAAGTATGTATACGAATCAAGAAAGAGTTGATATGATTAGAACCTACCCTTTGTAAGGAAAAAACGATGCTGTCGCGAGAGGACGATATCGTCCAACGAGTCGGATAAAAAATGTTTGTAATATTGAGTCAATATTTAAAAAATTATGGGGGATTTGAACGTCAATGTTAGTCAAGAACAAACTCGGAGAGTAAGAAGCGGGAGAGTATTCTGGTACCGGTACTCGAAGATTGGTCACAAAATTTCAAGTATGTCATATGCTGTAGAATTCAGTATTTCTTTCACATCTAAATCCTAATACACGGTAAAACACAAGTCAGACTAATAATTACTTAATTGAATTCAACACACGCTATCTAAAAAAAAAAAT